GCCGGCTGCCGCAGGCTCCGGTCCGAGCGCGCCGGGGTGGTGCGGGAGCTGTGTGCGCAGCCTGGCCAGCTGCTGGCCCCAGGGTGAGTGGGCCGGGGCGGGGGGGGTGGGTCCTTAGAGGAGAGTCCTGGGCTCGGGGAGGGACGTTCTGGGTCCGGGGATGGGCGTCCTGGATTCGGGTAGGAGGGATTCGGGAAGGAATGTTTCTGGGTCCGGGGAGGGGAGGGTCCTTGGGTCCGGGAGGGGTGTCTTGGGTCCTGGGAGGGGAGGGTCTCGGGTCCTCGAGGAGGGCCCTAGGTCCGGGAGGGGTTCCTGAACCTGAGGAGAGGGATCTTGGGTCCAGTGAGAGGCGCCCAGGGTCCGGGAGGGGGATCCTGGGCCAGGGAGGAGGTCTGGAGTCGGGGTTGGGGATCCTGGGTCTGGAGAGGCCGTCCTGGACCCCGGGGGGGGGCCGGTCCTGGGCCTGGCAGGGCGCCCTCAGGCTGGGCCCAGTGAGAGCATTGGAAGGGGACTGGAGGCCATGCCATTCAAAGCTGGTTAGTCCCCACCTGTGGTTTTATCAACTGGGAGGCGCTTTGAGTTCAAAGAGAAAAGTTCTTAGGGATCCGAAGTTGCTGTGTTTGGGGAAACAATTGCTTCCATACTTTTTGCCGTGGTAGATGGTGTCCCATCCCTTTAACTCCACTTTTGTAGACCAGGGCTACTTGGGGTGCTATGAGTGCGGGCTGATAGGGCAGGCTCCAGACCTGTTATTGAACGTAAACTATTGGGTGTGTGCACATTTGTAAAGTTTTGTAAACTTTGTGAAACGCACTTGTAAAACCTGGTGCAGTTCTATATCCTGTCTAGGGAAGAGGTGGCTTTTGGGCTCTGCTGAGGTGACAGGGTGATAAGTGGCTATGTGATCAGCTTCTTAGCTGTCTGCTTTGTGTCCTAACCCCACAGGGACTGTGTTTCCCCTAATGAAGTGAGAACACATGTACTCTACATTTTCCCGGATTGTATTCTGAGATGGGTGGACTGTGGGTGTGTGAGTGAACACGTGGCCTTGGTTGTTTTGTTGGAAAGGAACAAAAACTCTAGGGAGAGGTGAGCATTCTGCCTGTAGTGGGCTGGGGGTGAGCTGGGTGTGAGAACACCCTTGGGAAGGATGTGGCTTTCTGTGGTATCCACTCATACCCTCCCCTTCGTGGCCTCTGTTCCTCATCCCATGGGTGTCACGCCACTCTGGCTTCTTTTGAGTATCTACTGCACACCTGGCTCTGCAGGAGCAAGGACCAGAGCAGGAGAATGTGCTGGCTCCACCTCTGAGACAGAGCCTGGTCCCTGGCTTTTGGTGCAGGTGCACACTACTGCCCACTGAATGCTGATGGGTTCAGGGTTGTGCCTCCCAAGCCCCACAGGAGCCATCTGCATAGCTTCTGGAGGGTACCCTGGTCATCATCAGAAGAGTGACTTGACTTCCTAGCACTCTGTCTACTAGTCCATTGTGGTTATGGAGGTGAAGCTCAATGCTAGTGTGTTCACTGGGTACAAAACCCCAAAATTGAAGCCCTCTTCTGGCATTTAATTCTGTTTCTCTGTACAGAAAGGACCACTGAGGCCTAAGCAGGTGAGTAACTTGTTTGTTTCTTCTGGCAATTCTGATCATTTGTTTCAAGTTAGTTTCATGACTTTGGGCAGCCTCCTCTGGTTGAATTCCACAGGTAAGTTTGTTGCTGATGGCTCTGCACTGTTGAGTTCCCCAGGAGTTACCCTACTTTTTGAGGCTGTGTATGTTGACCTCCCCCAGAATGTCTGCTGTACCTTTGGGGAATGCATTGGCAATTTTTAGGTTAAGTCACTCATTGAAGATTTTGTAAGAAGATGCTTTACTGGTGATTTGCTCTGCTGAGCAGTGTCCTGAAGTTCAGGTCTGTGATGGCTTTGCAGGCGTCCCCAAGAACTGCAGGTCAGGACCCCCACACGTTCACTTACAGCCATCAGTAATGGATTCTCCACCCGTGAGTTTTAGCTCATAAGTCTTCACCAGCCAACTTATAGTAGTAGAGCCTTGAACAACACGATCTGAACTGCAGGGATCCACTTTTATGTGGGTTTTGTTTACCAAATAGTCTGCTGTCTGCATCTGTGGATTTCATGTCCAACACTACTCAATGGATGCAAAGACCATGTTTAGGGAGGGCCAACTGTGGGACTTGAGCATGTGTGTAGGTTGGTTTTCTGCCTGTTATCGTTCCTTCATCTTGATTTTGTCCCAGGGCACATACAAATACCTGTTTTTAAGGAATGAAGTGTCTTTGAAGAAATATCATTAGATGTATTAAACTGCAGCTTTCAGAGAACAGATATCACAGCAGCCCGAGTGATTGTGTGGAGCATTTGGACTTGGTGCTGTTTGCTTTAAAAAAGGGGGCTCTTGACCCTGTTGCCATTGGCTGCTTGATAGTAGCTTGTCTGTGGAGACTGCGTGCAGGAGTGGACAGGCCTGAGCGGTGCTGGTAGTGGACCAGGTACCCATTGTGTTGTCACGTGCCCCACATCTTTCCCCCCTCCCTTCCTCCCCCAGCAGTGCCCAATGACTGCCGATTCCATCCTTATGCTAATGTGACTAGTGCTCAGGGCCTGCTTATGAGTGAGAACATGCAGTATGCAGTTCTTTGTTTCTGTGATATTTCCTAGTATGCTGGTGTCCAGCTACATCCAAGTTGCTGCGAAGGCCATGATTTTGTTCTTCTTTATGGCTGTGTGATACTCCATCATGTATATGTACCACATTTTCTTTATTCAGTCTACTTTCAATGGACAACAGGGTTGGTTCCATGTTTTTGCAATTCTGAATAGTGCGGCAATAAATATGCATGTGCAGATGTCTTTTTGTTAAAGTGATTTATGTTCCTCTACGTATATTCCCAGGAGAGGTATTGTTGGATTGTATGTAAGATCCATTTTTAGTTCTTTTAGAAATCGCCACACTGCTTTCCATAGTAGTTGAACTAGCTTACATTCCCACTAACAGTATAGAAGCGTTCCTTTTTTCTCCACACCCATGCCAACATCTGTTTTTTTGACTTATTAATCACGGCCATTCTTATTGGAGTTAGGTGGTATCTCATTGTAGTTTTGATTTGCTTTTCTCTGATGATTAGTGAGGCTGAGCATTTTTTCATGAGTCTGTTGGCTGTTTGTATGCCATCTTTTGAGAAGTGTCTGTTCATATCCTTTGTCCACTTTTTAATGAGGTGTTTTTTTCCTTTTACTTTGGTCTCTCAACAAATTCATCTTTGACAGAGTCACTGATAATAATCACTGGGGAAAGGAGACCATATTTAGCAAATGGTTTTTGGAAAACTGGCTAACTACATGCAAAAGAATGAAACTAGACCCCTACCTATCACCATATACAAAAATCAACTCAGCATGGATCAAGGACCTAAACATAAAACCTCAAAACTATAAGAATCCTAGAAGAAAACATAGGAAACACCCTTCTGGACATTGGCGTAGACGATGAATTCATGACTAAGACCCCAAAAGTGAATGCTACAAAAGCTAAGATAGACTTTTGGGACCTCATCAAACTGAAAAGCTTTTGCACAGCAAAAGAAATCATTAAGAGAGTAAAGAGACAACCCACAGAATGGGAAAAAATATTTGCAAATTATGCATCTGACAAAAAGGCCTAACATCCAGAATCTACAAGGAACTAAAAAATTATTTATAACGTGGAATGTCACAAAGCAAAGAAGAATCCCCTATTGGTGTGTGTGAATGAGCCTTGTATTTTTTAGTGCTGGCTATTGAAGCAGAGCATTGCTGAGAGAGGTAATGGGAGCTGTGGCCCCATGGAGCCTCCATATGTAAACAGCAGGTGTGAGTGAATATATAAAAAGTACCAACAGAAGCCAGGCACATGTGGCTGTATTGCTCTAATTGCCTTCACCATTGTTGTCATCAGCAGCATTTGTGCATGTCATTGCTTCCTCTTAACAAAGAGAAGTTCTAGGAACCTAAAGATACTGCATTTGGAAGTAGTTACACTACTCACTGGGTTGTCATTTTGATCTGTAATGGGATTGTATGTTTTCATGGTGCTTCATCCTATGTGGTAGAAGTGAGGACTGTCCTCCCTACAGGAGGCAAACTGAGGTTCCAAAATGTTCTGCTCTGCCCCGCATCTTATGGTGTATGGATGGCCTGTGAGGAGTAAGAGGCCTAGCGTCTCATGGTGTGTGTGTAGCCCAAGAGACCTCTGTCCCTGTGTCTCTGAGCTGCTCTCCCTGGGGTCAGCTGCATTTCAGCCATGAGACAGAGTTAAAATGATACTATATGTCTGTGCCTGTCTTTACTGGGAAGGATTGCCTGAGCCTCAGAGGTTAAGACTGGTGAGCCATGATTGTATCACTGCACTCTAGCCTGGGTGACAAAGTGAGACCTTGTCTCAGAACAAACATTGTGGGTAGCTCTAACTTCCAGTTTATTAATCTCATTTTATCTGTATGTAATCTATTATCTAACTCATCTTCAACAATTAGATTTTTCCAAATATGCCTACTCATTTATAGTCTCTTTTTACTTACTCACTCATGTTGTTTTTTGTTTTTGAGTCGAAGTCTCACTCTGTTGCCCAGGCTGGAGTGCAGTGGCACAGTCTTGGCTCACCACAGCCTCAACCTCCTGGGCTCAGGCAATCCTCTAGCCTCAGCCTCCTGAGTAGCTGGGACTACAGGCATGCACTACCATACCCAGCTAGTTTTTATTTTTTGCAGAAATGAGGTCTTGCTATGTTGCCCAGGCTGGTCTTGAACTCTGGGGCTCAAGTAGTTCTCCTGCCTTGGCTTCTCAAAGTGTTGGGGTTGCAAGCATGAGTTACCATGCCCAGCAATCCCCAGTTTTTACCTAGCAGAAAACCAGTGGATCTTTTGATTTCCTTGGTTTCATGTGCATATGTGGTTTAACTTTGTTGCAGAGTTTTATTAATAAGTGTGTCTGATCTTACCTTTAAATAAAGGTCTTTGACTCAAACAGGCTTTGAAACATTTCTGCCTACACGTGGTGTGTAGGTTTTAAGAAATTGTGTTTG